AAAGTCATTCTGAGGAGAACTTCAAAGTAGTTCTGAGGAGAACTTCAGAGTAGTTCTGAGGAGAAGTTCAAAGTAGTTCTGAGGAGAACTTCAAAGTAGTTCTGAGGAGAGTTCCAGAGTAAGTTTGAGGAGAACTTAAGAGAAGTTCTGAGGAGAACTTCAAAGTAGTTCTTAGGAGAACTTCAAAGTAGTTCTGAGGAGAAGTTCAAAGCAATTACGAGGAGAGCTTCAGAGTAGTTCTTAGGAGAAGTTCAAAGTAGTTCTGAGGAGAACTTCAAAGTAGTTCTGAGGAGAATTTCAGAGTAATTCTGAGAAGAACTTCAGAGTAGTTCTGAGGAGAAGTTCAAAGTCATTCTGTGGAGAACTTCAAAGTAGTTCTGAGGAGAACTTCAAAGTAGTTCTGAGGAGAGTTCCAGAGTAAGTTTGAGGATAACTTCAGAGTAGTTCTGAGGAGAAGTTCAAAGTAGTTCTGATGAGAACTTCAAAGTAGTTCTGAGGAGAGTTCCAGAGTAAGTTTGAGGAGAACTTCAGAGAAGTTCTGAGGAGAACTTCAAAGTAGTTCTTAGGAGAACTTCAGAGTAATTCTGAGGAGAGTTCCAGAGTAAATCTGAGGAGAACTTCAAAGTAGTTCTGAGGAGAACTTCAGAGTAGTTCTGATGAGGATTTCGGGGAAGTTCCGAGAACTCGAGAGAAGTTACATTGGCCTTATTTTTTTTTTGCTTCATTAGCGAGATGTTTTACTCTTTGGCTAGTTCATCTCGTACCATTGGCCTCAGGTACGTACACACTAAGATTATTTTACAGATTTCTGTAAAATTTTACCGAAATCTCAACAGCTGAACGTTCGGTAAACCATTTTACAGTTTTCCTGTAATTATTTACAGATATCTGTGAAAAAATCACAGATATTTGTGAAGAAATACAGGAAATCTGCGAAACTGTTTACCGAACGTTCAGCTGTTGAGATTTCGGTAAAATTTTACAGATTTCTGTAAAAAATTCTAAATGTGTATTTATGTGTCGCATGAGGGTGTAGTTTCAAGAAGAAAGTGGCCACTTCCCCGGGGGTACCCGGAACATGTCCAGATCTGGCTACCGTGGTCGTCTGTACCTAATAAGACCATCAATGATCATATTTTTTAATTCTCCTGTAATTTGATGTGTCACTTGTGGGTGTTGGTTCAAGAGGAATCTAACCACTTCCTCGGATGCCAACATGGTTCTGACTACTTACTACGACCTTGGATGCTTATTTGGATCACGTTTAGAAGGTTCTGGTAAGTTCAAAATTAAAAACAAATACTGCTGAAAACATTAAGCACTTCTTAGGTTGCCGCTCAACCGCACCGCGTTTTTCCATAATGTTGAGAGAAAAAACGCGTTTTAATACAATGCCGCTTTTTCCGCAATGCGCTCATTGTGGGTTGTCAAACGGATTTCAGTGTATTGGAAAATTTGCGCTTGCCGCTGTGCCGCTATCATTGTGTTCAGCCGTGTAGGATTGCACCCATTGTTTGATCCTCCTTCCCGTGTGGCCGTGGCCGTTCGTTTTCCTTTTGCAGTGAGGTCTTATATTCGGACACATTACGCTGAATGGTAGCCACCAACTGACTAGTAGGTATTTGATCTGGCCACCCTGATCGAGCTTCTCACTCTTCTTAAATTTTTTTGAAGAATTTCGTTCGGAATGTTGAGCGTGGTGTTTGACGGAGTTGACCAATGATGCCAGGAATGTAAAAAATATTTTTTCTATTTTAATTTGGATTTTATTCGGAGTTCCTACCGCAGTTTAGCAACTTTTACATCATTTTCGCTCAACACAATAAAAACAACCATAAACAAACAACAATGTCCATCGCTTAAAACACGCAGTGCACTCAATTTTTCAACTTACTTTTCGCAAATATAAACAATTAACAACGCCATTGACGTCAACATTGGTTCCGGCATCACTGCCAGCCAGATTTATGCGATCCCTCTGTCCTTTTTATTCCACGATTGCTACTGTCAAATCGACCAATCACAAACTGGCTCGGATTTGACCAAGGTAGAGTCGGTGTATAATGAGTCACGCCAAGAGTGAAGCCAAGCCTACCTATTGAACTGTCAAACCGGCTACCTATCGTGCAAAGTAAACAAACATTACGATGCTTTGAAAGGTCCACGAAAGGTATTGCAATAAAATATAAAATAAAATTGAATAAATGATCATAAACACGCAGTGAGCATTAAATTGACATGGGATACGTTTGGTAATGATCAGTAATGGTAATTTCTATATTTTTTTTATAAGATAATTTGATAAAATCACTGTTATAATTATTCATTACAGCTGCTATTTTTTGTTCTCGCTAGAAGTCATTTGAAGTTGATGTAGAATTCCTCTGTTACCAAGTGAAAAGAAAAGTAATCCTTCGAAAACCGTGATGCGAGTTCAACTGTTTATCTCTTGGCGTGAACCATTATACACCGACTCTAGACCAAGGGTGGATGTGGCTGTCAAATACGAATAATCGTCGCCTACCTCGCATAACTGGTTCCAAACGTAAATAAGTCATAAGAAACCTACAGAGTGTTGTTGGTCGTGATTTGCTCGATTGGTTCCGCTATTTGACACCTCAATTGGTTCCCGAGATTCTATCCGCCAGACTATGAATATAGCGACTATAGAGCGGTAGTTCCAAACACCAACAAACCAATTATAGCTTTGTTGTCGTTTGGAACCAGTTTTGCGAAGTAGCCGACGATTGTTCGGATTTGACAGTCATCTCCTCCCCCCAGTATTTTCATTGATCCATTGTAATACGTCGAAAAGGTCTCGATTTTGGCAACAAAGATGAAGTATTTGTGTTGCCAAAAACGAGATCTGATCCATCTACAAACCTGCCTAAAAACTTTTCCTAAAATAATCATACGACAAACTTGGATATTTTCAAAATGTTTCAATTTGTCCGAAAACAAAATTCACACGCATAGGCTTTTTGAGCGATTGTTTACAACTTACCGTCTCGTAAATGAGTAGAAAAACATCACATCATTGCCACTTATGCGCCACTGAAATGCAACTGTGATCATGCACTACACGCGTACATTTTCTTCAAAACAACTTTGTTTATAAACCGAAGGAAAAACCGCATTCGAGCATCACTTTCCCTCATAGAGCAAGATCGTCTCGCTCCTTCTTCAGATTCAGATGCGATCACCGATATAATCTGTTTATCATCACCGAGAAGGAAACTTTCCTCTCCACTTGACAGTTGTTGCACTTGTAAACGAATTAGAATTTGTGGTGGTGGGAATTTCTCCGGCACTTGAGAACAGTCTGCGTGCGTTCGATTCGATGACGTTTCAATTACAACACCGCCGAAAATGTCAACGTGCCGAGCAGACGTCACATTTCTTTTCGTTTTTTTTTCTGTTTACAATAGTTGTAATTTCGAAATCTCGTAACTCACATGCATTCGTTAGTATGATAGTAGGCTGTGGAAGCAAATGCAGTTGACATGTGAGCATGAGCTACTGCGTTTTTTCAACTTTCCGAGCAATTCAACCACTTGAGGTTAGGTCGGATCCATAGGGGGTTAGTTTTTGTATAATGTCGTTTTGATTAGACCTTGTTGAAAGTCGATGAGAAAAAAAATATATAAGAGAATGGAACGATAAAAGGGACGAGAGTTTGAAAATTTTGCAAGCGGCTTCCAGTCGGGGCTGGTGGCGGGATCGTCGTCGTCCGTAGGGTTCCGTGATGGACATATGGCGTTCTGTTTTCCGAGGTTAGATTTCAACTGTAAACAAAAGACAACACGCAAAAAAAGACGAAAACAAATATGTGAACTTGCGGTCATCTGCCTCCGATGGATCGAAGAAAGGAATGCTGCACGAGTAGCGTGCATATTTCAAATGTTTGACACATGTGTGGTTGTTTTGACAGCGCCGTGCGATTTTGGGATGCCAATGGTTGACCAGCTCACAAATGGTGAGTTCCTTAGTTCTTTGGAATTCGATTACTGCTAAACTATTTCATTAAAAGGAACTTAAAAAAGCTCATCAGAAAACAATTGACATTGCAAAATTCGCGAAACGGCCGCATCATAATAGAAATCGCCATTTCCTGGAACTAGCATTCATTCGATTCTCCAGACCAATTGAGTTATGGGAATTTTTCTCAAAGCATCTCATGAATAGCTTCCGACAATGGCTACGACGACGACGACACGCCGGAGCAAAGATCATATTATCTATCCATACAAATCATGTATGTACGAACACACACAATATGTGCCCATACACACGCTCTTTTTGCCATTGAATTGCGGCGGATTCGGTTGCGCAACTGTTGCGACGTTTCAAAACACGTGTCGTCCAAATTTTTGGTTCCATTTGGAAAATTACTAATTAAAAAAAGTAAACAAACCAGCTGTCATCCGTCCGAAGTAGGCTTTGCTCTTTACACCACTGCTGGAAAAAAAATGGCCACTAGATCGTAGCGCTACCAACGAACGCATCGTGCCCGACAGGCACGCGTGTGCATCGTCTTGGGAACTCCCACGCCTTCCGGATTTGTCGTCGAGTGGTCCCCAGTCCGAGCTAACAAGAAGTGCCCATTGAGACGCGCGCAATCAGCGCATTAGGTTTATTAACGGGAATGATTTAGAAGCTGAACGAAGCGGTCCCGTGCTGCTTAACTCGAAGATTTATGCAATGATGATGATGACGATGTTTGCCGTGTAGAACTCCTCACTCAAGTCAAGTGCGAGCCATTTCGCACCGAGAAAGGTTATCTGATGCTCGTTTATGTTTTTCTTTTTTTCGGGACGGAGCACCGTTCGGCAAGGCCGACGTCGATTAGGGGTTGTAATTAAATCAAATTTAGCACGACTTTTGATCGACCAACCGGAGCTATCAATCCTGCGAAGGCTGGTAGATTTTTGTGAATGAGTTTACGTTCCGATTGCTACGATCCAGACTAATTTAAGCTTTTACGATGTTCTTTCTTTCAGTGTGGAGTCGGTTGTCGATTGTGGGAGCTAGCGCTGGAGACCTCCTGTCAGAATGTTTGCGTAAGTCCTTGAATATCGGCGTGAAAATTCTCTCTTAACCACCGTGCCGATCTCTTCAACAGAACAAAACTGACCAGGAGCTGTTCGAGCCCAAGGAGCTGTACTGCGTCATGGGTTGCAACGATGCGCTGCAGCGGTACTTCAAATGGCTGAAAACGGAAATTGGGACGCCACCGGCGCCGGCGCTGGTGGCTGACAGTCTGACGGCAACTTCGCTGTCGCTGGAGTGGGAGATTCCCGAGCGGTTGGTTCAGTTGACCAAGCAGAAAAGCTACGGACCTAGGAGCTACTTGGTACAGTGGAGGTACGAGGAGGTTGCCGGTGATTGGAAGTTCTGCCGGAACCAAAGTATGGGCGACAACTCCACCATCCGAGTGGATAACCTGCAGCCTTACACCAAGTATCGGGTAGGTTCTACAAAGATCGTCTGATCCTACGGTCACCTTACTGACAAACTCTTTTTTTTTCTAGTTCCGGGTAGCCCTGATCCTCTCGCCGAATCGCAACGACGTCCTCATCTCGGAGCAGAGCGTCATCATCCAGACCCTGCCGAAGGGCGTGCCGACGTCCGAACCGAAAATTGTACGCGCCGTAGCCGTAGATCATTCACGAATTTCCATCTCATGGGAACCCGGACCGTTCCCGAACGGTATCATCCTAACATACGTGCTCCAGATTACAGATCTCGATCCCGAAGGCTACAATGCCCTCAAGGTTTCAAAATCCCCTTAATTCGTTGTTGTGTGCCCTCAATCTTTCTGGCTGTTTTCTCTCCTCCGCACTTCGCTTCTGCAATGGCGCTGCACCCGCTCTGCTTCTCCGGCTTCCGTCTCTAGAGTTAGGCCAACCTCACTAACAGCACTCGCACTCACGCATGACTTCGCATCTACCTATCGCTTTAACAAATTAATCACCTTTCTCCCCGTCAACCCCAAACTTATCGCTAACCTCAATTCAACTCTCTTCCAGGACATCCCCGAGTCCAACTCGTCCCGGTACTACATCTTCGAGAAACTCCATCCGGAGCGAAACTATTCCGTTTCGGTTTCTATGCTGAACCCGGAAGGCAAAGGCCCTCCGTCAACGACCTACGTCAAGACGCCACCGCAGCCTCCCGATCAAGAGAAGGATATTCAGCCCACATTGATCCTGGGTGCCGAACGGGCTGTCTCCTCACAAGGTTCGGACTTGCTTCTGGACCCCCCGAACATCCTGTACAGCAGCCACTCCAGCCAGAAAATCCGCGGCACCGCTATTCATATCCGCCGAAACCTGATCTTCATCTCCGATGATGCAGGGTACATCTACAAAGCCCCTCTTAGCAAGGCTGTCGAGCGAGGTCGAACTGCTGCACATGGTCGAACTGCCATCCTGACCCCGGAAGCAGGTCACAACTTCCGACCGACATTGCTTTCGGTGGACTGGCTCAACGATCACCTCTACATACTGGGTCAAGTGAAGGCCGGTGGCCTGTGGCAGATCTCCCGATGTGATCTGAACGGCGATCGCATGACCGTTGCCTATGCCGTATTGCAGAAGAAACCCACCCACTTCGAGGTGGATCCCTTCAATGGGTATCTGTTCTGGGTGATGAGCAGCGACAGTTCGGATGCCGGATTGTTTCGACTCGACCTCGGTGATATCTCCAACGGCGTCAAGCACGAGATCAACCCCCTTCAGTTGAACAACGTGCACAACTTGGGCGCATTCACGATCGATCACGTCCGTTTTCGGGTCCTGGTTCCGGATCAGAAAAACAACACAGTTCTCTCGATCTCTCTCGACGGAAAAATCACCGAGAACATTCGTCAAAACACGCAGCAACCGCGCTTCGGGAAGGTCAAATCGATCGCTCTGGCCAATGGCCTGTTCTACTGGACCAATGGGAAGGAAGTTCTGGTCGAAGACTACCACAAGAAACACGAGAGCTACTACCACAATGCATTCCCAATGGATGTCAACAATACGTACTTCAGCATCTACGTGAACCTCACTTCAGCTCAGCCCATCCCGACGCCGGTGAATCCTCCGAGGAACGTGCAAGCTCTGCTGACAAACCGGAAGATCAAGATCTTCTGGAATGTACCGCACCTGCTGGGAATCAAGGGCAAGGGAGCGTGGCAAGAGTGGAAATACGTACTGGAACTGATCGACGGAAAGACGATCCGGAACATCAGCGGGACGGCATTCACCTCCGAAGAGCTGGAATTAGTCAGCCCAGGACAGGAGTACGTGATTAAGGCTGCGGCCTACACGGACGCCGGGCAGGGACCGTGGAGTACAGAGTTCCGGGTGCGGACGTTGAAGGATTCGCACGATCGGCATATGGTGTGGTCCGGAAGCGAGGGACTCTTGCGAAGCGATGTTATTGGAGACAGCGTCGAGACTTTGATAGGGCAAACGGAGCTGGAGGATGGAGTCGTCACGGATATTACCTGGTTCGATAACATCCTATACGTGGTTAGCAATTCAACGTTGTTATTCTACAATCAAAGCGAGGCAGGGGTCAGCAAGCTGAGGGATCTGGAATCGGTAGAATGTGTGGCAGTGGATTGGATCGGAAGGAGGTTATATTTCTACAACCCTTCGCAGCAGATGATCGTGCGGAGTAGTTTGCATGGGGAGCAGCACGAACCGATTCACAATGTGAACAATGTGCGGGCGATCAAGTTCGATGCTTTGCGAGGCTTCATCTATCACTTTACGGCTTATGTAGTGGAAGCATTTCGTTTGAATGGTAAGGACAGGCATACCTACTATCATGAACAGCACAATCGGTTCGCCGGGAAGGAAGTGATAGGGATGACACTGGATTTGGATGGCAAGAAGGTTTACTGGATCGTTCGAACCATCAGCAATCTGGAGCTGTACAGCGAGCACATGGCTGGAACTGGTTCGCCGAAGCCAGACTCCGGGAAAGTCTCCCCCATAGCAGTCCTTTCGGATCAGTTCTCCGTGGGTCCTCTGACACACTTTAGCGATCGGCTGCTCTGGCTCCAGAAGGACGAAATCGTCGTCGGAGATCTACGAGGTGGAAATCTCGCCCACATCAAAAATCAAAAGCTAAACGGGACCCGTGCCTTCGTCATAGTTGATCCAGCCCATCACATCTACCCGGAAGGTAACCGGAACGTCAACGTCCTCCCCAACCCGGTCAACGACAGTTCCATTCGCATCCAGGGTACCTGGAAGAAGTTCCAGATCGTTTGGAGTCCGGTTTCGAACGTAGACTACGGCAAGGTGTTCTACAAACTGACCATTAAAGTGGCAGGCAGACCAGATGAAATCCACGAACTGTCCAAGCCCATTCATCCGTACAACTCGTCCGGAGCGAATCACATAAGTCCTCACACGGAGATCAACGTTACCATCAGTGCATTCACTCACTGGCGATCGTCATCGTTCTCCGTGGCTCGTCTGTTCAGTCCATCCGGTAAACCATCGCAACCGACGCATCCGCGAGTCTACGTGCGGCACTTTGTCGACCCGATCATGTACACACACAACATCGAAGCCACCTTCCGGTGGTCCCCACCGGAGACTCCCAATGGACCGATCGTTGGCTACAAGGTGCACTGCTGGTACGAAGAGGACGGCCAAATCAATCAAGTCCTGGAGGGAGAGCATGTCAACGGAACGGAGCGAATCATGCGCAATCTGGTGCACAACGTGACGTACTACTTCCGAGTGCAGGCTGCCACAACGGCTCGGGCCAGTGAAATGACTTCGGTGCGGTTGGTGGACACCGCTCACGATCATCCGATTCCGCAAGCTCTGATCGCCACCCGGGAGTACATCATCAAGGTAGACTTTGATTCGAGGAACTCCACGCAGGTAGTTGGGACATCAACGCCTGTGAACTTCATGGCCCGGTTGGCCAGGGAACGGAAGCTGTTTTGGGTGGACGAAAACAATGAGCTGTTCCAGTTCGATGGGGCGTCTAAGTTGAAGCTGTACTCCACCAACGGAACGGTGACGTCTTTGACGGTGGATTGGATCCAGCGGATACTGTACTGGTCCCAGCGGGAGCTGGTCGGGAGTGCGATCTACGCCTTTGATCTGAGCCGGTTCGAACACGAGGGAGTCCATCTGGCGAATGTCGTGCACAAGGAGGGAAACATTAGCAATCTGGTGGTGTCTCCGTTCGATCGAAAACTCTTCTGGATCGAGGAAGTGCCGGAGGATGTGATTTTCGTGCACACCTTCGATGACAAAAAGACGGTGGAATTTTTCGACGATAGCTTCGAGGAATGTCCTAATCGGACGGCTGGAATTACGGTCCATCCGATGTTGACGTTGCAGACTTCGGTCAGCGAAGAGGCCAGACTGTTTTGGGGTGAGACTGGATTGCGTAGCATCGGGTTGAGCAACAAGACGTGTGTGAACTTTGGCTTTGAGTACTACCCGAACATGAAGAGCATCGCAAAGGATAGTGATCACTTCTACTGGTTGGATGGAAACGATGCAATCGTTCGGATGGATGAAACGGGTGATCGTGAGACGATCACGATACCTGGAGCAAGAACACTGCTACCGCTACAACTACAGTACTTCCCCGAGAGGCAGTGCTTGATTCCGCTACAGAAGGATCAAAGCTATCAGGCCAACTTGCTTCGCAAGACGGAGAATTCGTTGACTTTGTGGCTGCCGAAGGCAGAGGTCCACACAAATTGTTCCACACAGCCTACGGGAATCCGGTATCTGATCTTCTACGAAGAACTGAGCGAGGCGAACAAGAACGGAACAGTGGATTGTGATCCATTGGTATGTAGACGCGTGAGTTCATATGACCGAAGCAAGACCATCGAAGGACTGAAACCGTTTACCTGGTACAAGTTCCAGGTCATGCTAACCAATTTCTATCAGGAGCACTATGGCTCGGTAGCAGGACTTGACAGCCCTCGGATGGGTGCGATAACGATACTCAGTACGGCTGTGGGAGCCCCGTCCAAGCCGGAAAACATCTACGCAGCAACGCTCAGTCCAACCGAAGCCATTGTCTACTGGTCTCCTTCGGTGGTGAAGAACAGCGATCGCGTGTGGTATGAGATCCACTGGCAGACGGAGAACATTCACGATGGGGTGAAAAATAAACAGCAGCAGCCCGTTGGAGGTAAGTACTGGAGGAATTCCCTTAAACCAAGATCGTAGGCTAATACCAAAAATATCATTGCAGAGTTTGACGAAAGTTCGGGTAATCTCTCGATAAGCCTCAATCGACTGCAGCCGAATCATTCGTACACTATCTGGATCCAAGCTCACTCGACCAAGACGACGTTTAGCATAAGCGATCAGGCGCAGATCGTGACCTTCCCGGAACCGGATGACATCCACCTGGTGTTCAACTCGTCCACTGAGCTGTGCGTCAGCTGGCGGCCCCATATGATCATTTCACAGTAAGTTGATGACATTCGATTTCCAAACGATCGGTAACTGACGGTTTTTTGAAATCTTCCTCGCAGGTACAAAGTGCAATACTCCGCCGTTGGCAGCAAGTCCTGGGAAACGATCTTCGAGACGGGCGTCAACGCTACCACCCCGGAGAACGACGAATACAAAGTGACAGGACTTCAGCCCAAGACGCAATACCGATTCATCGTGCTGCTGTTCTACCCGAACCGCAAGGATCCGTACGTGTGGCCTCCGGATGTGCGGTTCGTCTATGAAACCGATGCCGATCGGCCCAGCACACCGAGCCGCCCAATCGTGACCCAACTTCGGCAGGATGTCTACAAAGTTTCCTGGGAACCTGCCAAAGACAACGGAGCCGTCATCCTGGAGTACGCTCTGGAAGCCTTGGTGCGATCACCTCGCAACATGAACCGGGTAGAACGCAGTGCCGCCGTCGAACAGCTCAACGACGGCAACTCCGAAGAGATGAACAATACGATCCCAACTCGCATGGATGTCATCCCGACCGACAGCCAAGAGTACGTGACGTTCGACGAACACTGGGATCTGGTATATAACGGAACCGACGTCTACTGGATCATCCCGGAGAAGCAGACCTTCCACAAGCACACGTTCCGGGTTCGGGCACGAAACTCCTGCGGTTGGGGTCCGTTCAGCGGTGAAAGTGAACCCGTCAGTGAACCGCTGCTATCGGGTCAAACCGGAAGCTACCTGATGATCGTCCTGATCATCAGCGCCTCCATCCTGATCATCTTTGTGGTGCTGATCTTGGTCGTCTGTGGTGAGTGTGCTGTTTCATTGTGCCGCATCCTCTGTTCATTCCATCCACCAACCCGCCATCTCGCATCATGCATCATTGTCGTCCATTCTCATGTCATGTGTGTTATTTCCATTGTGTTTCTCCTTCCAGCGTGCCGTCGCGCCGAGCTTGAAAAGAAAATTCTAATTGATGCAACCACTACTCGCATTCCAGATGTGGAGCTGGCGAACCTTCGCGAGCTGCCACGGCGCGGCAATTTCATTCACAGCAACAACATCCTGTACAGCTCGAGCCCGCTGACGGACTCGGAGATTGCACTGCTGCCGCAGATCCGACGCGAGCAGGTCAGTTAAGGGGTTTGGGGTGTGTGCGATTGAGGTCTAGTCTAATTGTGACTGTGATTTTTCGTTGTAGATTTCGATGACCAGTTCACCATTCTTGGGCAGCGGAGCGTTCGGTGAGGTGTACGAAGGAATCGTCAAGGGAGTAGGAGCCGATGCGGAGACTCGCGTTGCGATCAAGGTAAGTTTTTTGAGTTTGTGTTTAGAGGATCTGAAACTAATGAGCTTCATTGCAGACTCTCCGGAAGGGAGCTACCGAGCAGGAGAAGGCTGAATTCCTGCAGGAAGCTCATCTGATGAGCAACTTCAAGCACAAACACATACTGAAGCTGATCGGGGTTTGTTTGGATCTGGACTCGCTGTACATCATCATGGAGCTGATGCAGGGAGGTGACCTGCTGAGCTATCTACGCTCGAATCGTCCGACGCCGGGTATTCCTTCGATTTTGACGCTTCTCGATCTGATATCGATGTGCGTAGACGTCGCGACGGGTTGCCGCTACCTGGAGGAGATGCACTTTGTCCACCGGGATTTGGCCTGTCGAAACTGTTTGGTTTCGTCAATGGATCCGAGGGAGCGAGTCGTCAAGATCGGCGATTTCGGGCTGGCTCGGGACATCTACAAAAATGACTACTACAGAAAGGAGGGAGAAGGACTGCTACCGGTCAGGTGGATGTCTCCGGAAAGTCTAGTCGATGGAGTGTTCACGTCTCAGTCGGACATTTGGGCATTCGGCGTGCTCCTGTGGGAGATCATGACCCTAGGGCAGCAGCCGTATCCGGCCAGGAACAACGTCGAAGTGCTGCACTATGTGCGGGACGGTGGTCGACTTGGTCGACCACAGGACTGCCCGGAAGAACTGTAAGTTTGCGTCTTCTATAAACCAAACATTGTTGACTCACGGTTCTTACGCCCTTTTTTTCAGATATCAACTGATGCTGAAGTGCTGGAGCTACTCGCCGGAAGATCGACCGACCTTCCGCTACTTGCTGGAAGTGCTGAAATCTCTCAAGGAACGAACCAGCGATTCAATACAAATCACTTCCCAATTTCCCTGTAAGGTTCAGAACGGTAAGTTGTCGTTCCGATCATCCCCTAAGTTCGATCAACTAACCCCTTCGTTTGAACTCATCCACTCACTAATTCGGATTCGCTTTGCTTTCTCTCTCTCTCTATTTGTACGCATTCTAGGTGCGGTGTTTAACCGATCCTATCTGCTTTCCGACATCAATCACAATCCGTTCATGGCAGGTACATTATCAGGCGTTCCATTTCACCGAGCCCGTCTCAGCCGGAACCGCGACCAATTAACCACCTTTTTCTTCTCTCTCTCACTTTCCCTCTCACAGACATCAAATTCGTCGGCAACAGTGGAAGCGGCGGAGGCTTCATCATCACTCCACCGACCTCTTCGAGTGGTGGAAGTGGAGCCACCTTGATGACCACGACCATCCCGAAGTATCTGGAACTGGTCTACGAAGATAGTCACAGCCAGAATAGCAAGTGTTCGACAGGCGAGGATGTCCCTCTCACCGTTGGACTTCCGCCGCCACAGCATCAGAACCAGGTGATGCCAACAGACAACGGGTACGAGATCCCAATTCACGAGATCCTCCTGAGGCAACACTCGAGCAACAGTATCAAAGGCCGGACGTTCTCCAGTTCGTCGACGGTCAGCAACGTCAGCACGCTACCGGCCACGGCATCGACGACGACGGCGGTCTGTTCGACCGGGACTAGTTCCTCCCAATGTCAGGACGACTGTTCCAGCTTGGAAGCGCTGCTTCCAATGAACTCGATCCTCACCGTGAAGCTTCCGGACGAGGAAGAACCACCCACCGGAATGGACTACCAGTGTAGTGGGACGGAATCCAGCGATACGAACGAAGATAGTATTAACAACGGGGAGCAGCAGGTCGGTGGGTCCGTCGCGGACGAAAGCAAATCAGTCATGTGAGCAGCTACTAACTAGTTTATAGGTAACGGAACAAACAAAGTCGACACACAGGCAGAAGTTGGAACATTCCAAATAACCATCCGTGGTAGAAACCTATTAGACCTAGGAAACGCTCAAAACCAACCACCACCTAGACGTAACCAAACGACTCTCAACCTTTTAAGCTAACCTACCTACTGTTTAGTTAACCTAATGGAATCTTAGTTAGAACCAACGATTGTAAATACGGGGTCAAACAGAACCAAAACAAAGCCCAAAACATAACCTATAAGCTGAATGTCAGTGTTCTCGTCGCCAAGAAGGGGGCTTCCGCTTCGCGCGCGGACTCTTCGCATTCCCGCTGTTCATCGGAGTGAGGAAGCTTCCGTGTAAAATTTTCCTACTAGATTTAGCCGTGTACATATATCGAGCATATTTTGTTTTCCGTTTTGTAAATAGTGACAGTTTCATCATGTGTTTCGATTCGTTCTCAAGTGTCTTATCAGTCGTCGGGTACAAGTGACAATAATTGCAATCTTCACCCTTATATTAAAGGTGATTTTGAGAGTGCAGGAATTATAGTACTAATATAGTTTTTTTTTGTGAGTATGCACAAGCCAAGCACAATTTATCCGATTTACATCTATTTACTACCAGTCTGTGTACTACTTCTCTGCCTATTTCTATACCAGTAAATTATTGTGTTTATTCATGTTTATAGTTTATGAAATACATTGCGGTAGGTGTTAAGGATGAACGAAACCAAAAACAGTTTTTTTTTAGGGATAATAAATCGATTTATTTTGAAAACATGAATAACTTGTGCTGATCCGTTTCTTCGACAATTCCATATTTATTTTTAAATTCCAAACGGGTAGGAAAATTAAGCTATAAACGTATGCATGCTGTGAGTTCGATCTGCCATAAAATTATTGCACAAAGCTGGTATAACTTGGCATTGCGGAGCTTTCACGCCAATAAGCGCATGCGCAGAACTCACCACGGGAAAGCTAACGGCATTAAACTTGACCATGTGAGCTTCACTTTGATGATGCAGTTGTGGAAAGTTTATTTTCCAATTCAACGTGGTATGTATTACTAAATAGCGGCGGCGATGGTGTAGTGATAAGCGTGATTGCCTCTCATCCCAGCCAGCAGGCCTGGGTTCAATCCCAGTCGGTGCCACCGGGATTTTCTGAGGCATTCATCTCTGATCACGCCTTCCGTCGGAAGAAAAGTAAAGCCGTTGGTCCCCGGTTCATGAGTTGATGGGTCGATAGGTATGGTCCAGGTGTGGGAGCTGCTTCCCTGGCGTTGGTAGCATTGGTGCTCAGTACAAAAAACAAGATCGACGGAAAACAAATCAAGGAAAAAAATATATTACTAACACTTATGAGAAAGTAGCGTCCTTGGGCCCGGTATGTATAATTTCCTCACAATTTTAATTTGAGCAGGTGTCATAATGAAAATTATGTTGTGGACGCCTGAAAAGAATGTTCATTTCTTTGCTTTACTTCTCACTTTATTGATTTGTTTATTTTATTTTTGCATTGACTTATTTATTTATTTATTTATATATTTATTTATTTATATATTATTTATATATTTATTAAATTATGTATTGAACTTGTTTTATTTTTTATTTTATTTTTTTGTTTTATTTCTTATTTATTCATTTATTAATTTATTAATTTATTTATTTATAAATTTATTCATTTTTTAATTGTTTATATGCATTGTTTTGATCGTCTATTTAGACAGTTTTTTTTAATGTTATTCAATTTATTTATTGTTTTGATCATTTATTTATGTATCGGCTTATTTATTTATTTATGCATTTATTTTAATTTTATCACGCATTTATTTATGTTTTATGATCTTTTATTTTATTTTTATTATTATTGGTTTTATTTATTTATTGATGCTATATAATTTATAAATTATATATTTATTTATTCTATTATCTTTTACTAATTTATGTATTCATTGATTTTTTAAGTTTTTCCTTGTTCCAAATCAAAGTTAAATAACATTTCATGTTAATCCAGAAGCTTAATTTATTGATTTATTTAATTAATGATTTATTGCTAAATTGCTTTATTGCTTAATTGCTTAATTGCTTTATTGCTTTATTGCTTTATTGCTTTATTGCTTTATTGCTTTATTGTTCTATTGCTTTATTGCTTTATTGCTCTATTGCTTTATTGCTTTATTGCTTTATTGCTTTATTTCTTTATTGCTTTATTGCTTTATTGCTTTATTGCTTTATTGCTTTATTGCTTTATTGCTTTATTGCTATATAACTTTATTGCTTTATCGTTTTATTGCTTCATTGCTTTATTGATTTATTGTTCTATTGCTTTATTGCTTTATTGCTTTATTGCTTTATTGCTTTATTGCTTTATTTCTTTATTGCTTTATTGCTTTATTGCTTTACTGCTTTATTGCTTTATTGCTTTATTGCTTTATTGCTATATAACTTTATTGCTTTATCGTTTTATTGCTTAATTGATTTGTTGATTTATTGATTTATTGATTTATTGATTTATTGATTTATTGGTTTCTCGCTTTATCGCTTTATCGCTTTATTGCTTAATTGATTTATTGCTTTATTGCTTCATTGCTTTATCGCTTTATTGCTTTAGTAATTTATTGATTTATTGATTTATTGATTTATTGATTGATTGATTTATTGATTTATTGATTTATTGATTTATTGATTTATTGATTTATTGATTTATTGATTTATTGATTTATTGATTTATTGATTTATTTATTTATTGATTTATTGCTTTATTGTTCTATTGCTTTATTACTTTATTGCTTTATCGTTTTATTGCTTAATTGATTTATTGATTTATTGATTTATTGGTTTCTCGCTTTATCGCTTTATTGCTTAATTGATTTATTGCTTTATTGCTTCTTTGCTTTATCGCTTTATTGCTTTATTAATTTATTGATTTATTGATTTATTGATTTATTGATTTAATGATTTACTGATTTATTGATTTATTGATTTATTGATTTATTGATTTATTGATTAATTGATTTATTGATTTATTGATTTATTGATTTATTGATTTATTAATTTATTGATTTATTGATTTATTGATTTATAGCTTTATTGACTTATTGATTTATTGATTTATTGATTTATTGATTTATTGATTTATTGATTTATTGATTTATTGATTTATTGATTTATTGATTTATTGATTTATTGATTTATTGATTTATTGATTTATTGATTTATTGATTTATCCAGCCAACGGCTGAAAGTCTCCTTGATAAAGATATAAAAAAAAAATTATTGATTTATTGATTTATTGATTTATTGATTTATTGATTTATTGATATATTGATTTATTGATTTATTGATTTATTGATTTATTGATTTATTGATATATTGATATATTGATTTATTGATTTATTGATTTATTGATATATTGTTTTATTGATTTATTGATTTATTGATTTATTGATTTATTGATTTATTGATTTATTGATTTATTGATTTATTGATTTATTGATTTATTGATTTATTGATTTATTGATTTATTGATTTATTGATTTATTGATTTATTGATTTATTGATTTATTGATTTATTGATTTATTGATTTATTGATTTATTGATTTATTGATTTATTGATTTATTGATTTATTGATTTATTGATTTATTGATTTATTGATTTATTGATTTATTGATTCATTGATTTATTGATTTATTGATTTATTGATTTATTGATTTATTGATTTATTGATTTATTGATTTATTGATTTATTGATTTATTGATTTATTGATTTATTGATTTATTGATTTATTGATTTATTGATTTATTGATTTATTGATTTATTGATTTATTGATTTATTGATTTATTGATTTATTGATTTATTGATTTATTGATTTATTGATTTATTGATTTATTGATTTATTGATTTATTGATTTATTGATTTATTGATTTATTGATTTATTGATTTATTGATTTATTGATTTATTGATTTATTGATTTATTGATTTATTGATTTATTGATTTATTGATTTATTGATTTATTGATTTATTGATTTATTGATTTATTGATTTATTGATTTATTGATTTATTGATTTATTGATTTATTGATTTATTGATTTATTGATTTATTGATTTATTGATTTATTGATTTATTGATTTATTGATTTATTGATTTATTGATTTATTGATTTATTGATTTATTGATTTATTGATTTATTGATTTATTGATTTATTGATTTATTGATTTATTGATTTATTGATTTATTGATTTATTGATTTATTGATTTATTGATTTATTGATTTATTGATTTATTGATTTATTGATTTATTGATTTATTGATTTATTGATTTATTGATTTATTGATTTATTGATTTATTGATTTATTGATTTATTGATTTATTTATTTATTTATTTATTGATTTATTTATTTATTTATTTATTTATTTATTTATTTATTTATTTATTTATTTATTTATTTATTTATTTATTTATTTATTTATTTATTTATTTATTTATTTATTTATTTATTTATTTATTTATTTATTTATTTATTTATTTATTTATTTATTTATTTATTTATTTATTTATTTATTTATTTATTTATTTATTTATTTATTTATTTATTTATTTATTTATTTATTTATTTATTTATTTATTTATTTATTTATTTATTTATTTATTTATTTATTTATTTATTTATTTATTTATTTATTTATTTATTTATTTATTTATTTATTTATTTATTTATTTATTTATTTATTTATTTATTTATTTATTTATTTATTTATTTATTTATTTATTTATTTATTTATTTATTTATTTATTTATTTATTTATTTATTTATTTATTTATTTATTTATTTATTTATTTATTTATTTATTTATTTATTTATTTATTTATTTATTTATTTATTTATTTATTTATTTATTTATTTATTTATTTATTTATTTATTTATTTATTTATTTATTTATTTATTTATTTATTTATTTATTTATTTATTTATTTATTTATTTATTTATTTATTTATTTATTTATTTATTTATTTATTTATTTATTTATTTATTTATTTATTTATTTATTTATTTATTTATTTATTTATTTATTTATTTATTTATTTATTTATTTATTTATTTATTTATTTATTTATTTATTTATTTATTTATTTATTTATTTATTTATTTATTTATTTATTTATTTATTTATTTATTTATTTATTTATTTATTTATTTATTTATTTATTTATTTATTTATTTATTTATTTATTTATTTATTTATTTATTTATTTATTTAT